AAAAAAAAAAAAAAAAAAAAAAAAATTAAAAGACCTCATTACCCTAACATTATCTACCTTTATGGAGAAATTCCTTTATTTTGACTATACCTTGGCAATTAGCACTATAACGTACATTGGAAAATTAAAATAAATGTGTGATTTTAAAAAGGTCATTGAGAACAGCAGCCAAATAATCAAACTGCCCTGATATAAATCCAGGTCGATTTTTAAAATATCAAGTTCAACAGCAATTGCAGTAATTCAAAATAAAGCAGTCATAACAAGCTATTTAAAAAATTACATTGATAATGCAATTCACATTTCCAAACTTATTTGAAATGGGATGCATTTTTTCTAAAAGCTTTTTTTGTTGTTGTTTTTTGAGACAGGACTTGCTACACAGTTGAGGCTGGCTTTGAATTGGAGGCAGTCTTCCTGCTTCAGCCTCCCGGAGAGCTGAGATTACAGGCATGCGCCACCACGCCCAGATTTCCAATAGCCTTTTAAAGAAAACGATATCTGGATTTCCAAAATAAAATGTTTGTTACTTCACATTATTTATCTGAAGTGAAGTTCTTCATATTAAATACTGCAAATTGGAAACTACAAATTGGCTTTTCAGACACTCTGAAGAGAACTTTTTAGCTTTGTATCTGCTTCTTTAAGTGTGCTGGGAGAGATTAGGAGTTTATGATTAACTAAGATAAAAATAATCCAACAGTCCAATTCAGGAGGAAGAAAACATGACTAATTTGAATTCTGACCCCCAAATCATAGGGTTTTTTTGAGCTTCATGTCACTAAAACCCAAATATAGCCCTTATTTAGATTACTCTTTAAAAATTTTTTTTTCTTATTTGGACAATAGTGATTAATGAGACTTTCTGGGTGGGAAAGGAGGTTGTTTTCAGTATATGAATTAAAAACACACGTGATTGTTTCCGAGTACACAGAAATAAAAGAACAAACAGTACCGAGGAATGTGTATAATTTATATAAAAAACAAAGCCACTATGCATTTGTTGTTCAGTGAGTGTCCTGGGAGCTGGAAGGGGACGACTCATCTCCGATCCACTGCCTACTTATATGAAAAGAACCAGAACATGTTTCTTACATCACAGGAGGGAGAAGCAGAATTAAAGGAGTCTGCCCCGCGGGGCCAAGAGCATAATAGGTTATCTCTCCTACCTTGTGCTTTTCATTGCCTTTTGATCCTTCTCTTAAAACCTTTACTGCAAAGAGTACTTCTTGGTTCAAAAAGGGAGAAGGGGGTAGGGACAGAAAAGGAAATCCAGGTGCTGTGAAGGACTCATTTTCCACAGCTACGATTCTCTGCTAAGTCACTGTGTTAAGTCGTGCTGCTATACTGAAATCAAGAGCAAAATTTCCACCTGGTTGTCAACTTCCAAACACACGCCGTATAGAGGCAGACAAGAATTTATTCTAGATACACTGGTACATGTTTGGAGGTAGACAGAGGGATGATATAAGCACAAGTGGCTTGATAAGACTCACACGATACCCTCCCTGGACACAGTTCCGGTAAGGTTACCCTCTCTTCCTCAAAGTAAACTGCTAACATTTTCACCAGAAGTCTCCAGAACAACAAATCTAAACCACTGTTGCAGGTTTTCTGTAGGAAGCATTTTTATTTATTTTTATTTCTTCTCTTTGATAAGCAAATCCCTCAAGTTCATTAACCATTTTTTTTTTAAAAAAGGAAGATAAAATAAACAGAAACAAAGCAAGGCAGAACATCTTTCTTGAAAAATAGGAAGGTTTTCAGAAGGTAGTAGGTGGCCGACGTGTAGTAGTAGGGGATCGGGCACAGAGAAGGAAAACCTAAATGTACTATGCTGGGTACTACTAGAAGGAAAAGACACATCTATTGGCTCTCTTGGTGAGTTAAAAAGAAGAAGAAGAAGGAAAAAAAAAAAAGGATTGCAAGGTTACGGTGTGATAAAGGGCAAGCACATTTTCTCTCTTTGATTGCAACCACTCTCGGCCGCGCTGTGCGTGACGCATTCCTACGCCAGGTGAAGGAGCCCCATCCTCTACACACGCAGTTACTCTACATGCTGGCTCTCCCTTTCCCCACACTCACACGCCTGTGGCTGCGTGCCTCTCACATATTTACACATGCTTTGCCGATGCCAAATCTCCAAGTGACAAGTGACAGAAGGTCACCTACCTTCCCAGCTCTTCTCATCTCCCAGTGCAGCCAGGTCTACATGGGGCTCTTCGGAGACAAAGCTCTCCTCCTGGGCGTCAGCATCTTGACTCCTCTGCTGTTTGCTGTCAGGTGTGCTGGGATGCTCCTGAATCTTCATTGTGGGGCTCTGCAATAACAGCACAGTGTCCCTGAAGAGCCACTGTTCACCAAAACCCAGCGGTGCCTGCAGCAATCCCACTCCTGAATGAAAGCTCTCAAGGCACAGCTGCTCGTCCACCCAGCATAGACAGCAGAATCATGGCTCGGTGCACCCCGATACAAGCTGGCCACTCTCACGCAAAAAGCAGCTGTCCATCCGCGCTCCTTTAACTTTTCTTCCGCGAGGGAGACAGGAGGATTTCCTTGGGCTGCTCCTCCTGATAACTGCACGCAGCTGACAGTCTGGATGATTACTGACTAGGGCCAGCAATGAGTTTGTTTCCTTAAAGGAGCACAGCTCTCTAGACTATAAACAATAACGACAGAAAAGCCAGCGGCTGCTGTTGCTAAGGCTGGAGCAGCAACATGGTGTCTTGCGCGCAGACTTCTTTGCCCTTAGGTAAACAGCACTGCAAGGGCTGGGGACAAACACTCCCGCAGGCTGAGATCAATTACACGGGGCGAGCTGCACATTTGCAGATTTCCTGCGGCTGTTTTCCTGCAGAGTATGGGGCGAACAGACTATTTATGGAGGAGCTCAAGGGTATTAAAGCATTGTTGCACAAATTCAAACAGCACAGGGCTCTGGTGTCCCATCTCAGCTAGCAGTACAGAATACAGACCCTGGAAGTGATCCAAAATTACACCGGGAGAATGGCTTTTTTCCTCTTTTCTTTTATACAAAGCCAGCACTAGCAAGTCGGTGATGCACAATCTATATGCTATACAAATATGCAACTGTCACTTGTTTTTCTACTATTCATCTCCTTTGAATATGAAATATTCAGCTACTCTTGGCTCTGCTCATTGACAGAACCTACAGGACCTCACTGACAGCACCTCAGGCTAGGATACCTGATGGATGGGGAAATCCTCCCCAAAAGGCTGATATTCAAGTTATGTGATTTGTGCTTTTTAAAAAAGCACTGAGATGAATCCTACTGCACTGAAATTCTCTTTTTAGCTTCTTCTTTAGCATATTGTAAACCAAGCCATTGTTACTCTTGTTGCTCTCACAGCATTATGAATAAATGTGTCTATGCAAAAATGTATTTCTCTAGTAGCACAGACCTGTACACGATATTTTCTTTGAGAGTAAACGGAAATTTTAGCGAATATGGTACCATCTGAAAACAAAACTGAGAACATCTGGAAATCACAAGTGAATTCATTAATGTAAGAGAAATGTTCTTATGCTTAAAATAAAACTCTAAGGCTTCCTGCTACTTTTAATAGCTATCCAACCCACTTGGAAGTCAGTGGGGATGAGCAGACAGCACTTTTACTAGTACATGTCCATGAAAGGATGCATGAGACCTGTGTTTTCTTAAAATTTAGGGTAAAATGAAACATTAGTTAGGTCAGGGTGAGTGATTCAAGTCAGATGGAAACACCAAGGAAATCTGGGGCTTTAAGATATTTTTAAAATGCTGTTGGGGGTGGTGGTACATTTATGTCACAAAAATGATGTGTCCCTTGAGCAGACTCCTGAGTGAACAAGGGCTGAATGCCCAAATCTGGTGCCCAGCTTTAAAAACATTATAGGGTTGCTTGGCGGCCAATCCTCTGTGTGTGTGTGTCTGTGTGTGTGTGTGTGTGTGTGTGTGTGTGAGAGAGAGAGAGAGAGAGAGAGAGAGACAGAAACAGAAAGTGAATATCACACAGTAATTAAATATTTCTCAACAAATATTTCTAAAGATATCTACACTCAGAGATATCAAAGAAAACAATACAAAAAGCATGATTTCATTTGTAAAGTAAGGTATTTTCTGTATGAGAAGCCCATGCACCAAGTCATTTAATGTGTGAGGCCGAAGGGCTGGGGATTTAGCTCAGTGGCACTGTGCCTGCCTTGCAAGCCTAAGGTCCTGAGTTTGTTCCCTGGTACAAAAAACAAAACAAAAAAAGCCCCAAAACAAAACTAAAATGCAGTATGAGGCCCAGGACAGGACACAGGGACATGGAGCTGCGTTTACAGTGTGGCGCTGACATCTGCCAGCTGCCCTCTGTAGACCCTTCATTACTTCATCTTCCAAGAAGTGTACATGAGTCTAATCCTGCAAGAGGCTATAAAGACCAGAGAGAAGGCAAGCAAGACCTGCAGCTTGGTGCCTGGAGTGTGAGAGACACAAACGGAAGCCACTGTTCTGTTACTAAGTGGCACCTTATAGAGATGAGTAGAACAGGAAAAATGCCGGCCCAAAACTGCTAGAGTGAGGAATGGAAGATGACACAGGAGAAGCTTATGCTACAATAGGATGGAACACAGACTTCAATGAATGAATCAGGAACAAAAGACCAGCAAACAGCCGTGAACCAGCAGCAATGGCTGTGACGGCAGTGGCAGCTCTGGATTGGGGGCAGATAGGTACAGGCTCGGAAGGCTGGGAGGAGGTATAGCGCGTGTGAAGACAGGCAGGATGGTGTGCTACCTCAGCCACTGTGAGAAGACCCTCAGGGTGATTAGTCCTTAGGACAGGGCGGCGGGATGGCAGAGGACAAGGGAGTCAGCGACCTGTGGAGGGTCTTGTGTGCTGGGCTTTATCTTTCGATAGTCATACACCACCCAAATAGGTACTATGCAGCAGTACTTGCTATGATATGTCAGAGAATAGACAAAGATAAAGCTGATTCATTAATTTGTTCAAGAAATGATATTTCAAAACCAGGCATAGTGGCACAGGCCTCTAATTCCAGAATTTAAGAGGCTGAGAGAGGAGAATCACTGTGACTTTGAGAACATCTTGAGCTACACAGTTATTTCAAGATCAGCCTGAAGTACACAGTGAGACTCTATCTCAAAAAAAGCAAAAGCGAAAAGAAAAACCCCAACATCAATAAGAAATATTTTTTGACTGCCTGATCTGTGCTAGGCAGTCTTTTAGATACTGGGGAAATAGCACCAGACCAAGTCAAGTCTCTGTCCTGACAAAGCCTACAGGAAGGAGACAGTAAAGAAATAACCATGAGGACTATGGAGAAAACAGGCAAGGAAAGAGGGGTGTGGTGATGGCAGCTGAAGTCTCACACTCCAGACAGAGCGGTCGAGAGCCTCCCTGAGGAAGTAGCTGAGACCGGAAGGAAGCAGGAGAGGGAGCCGTCTGTGGAGGAGCATTGCAGGGAAGAGGAAGCTGGAGCCTGGGGCTCTGTTCAGTGAGTGTCATCACCGTTTATAAGATTCAGGAGCAGTGCAGAAGCCGCTGCATCTGGGATTGGCAAAGGACAGCCAAGGACAGCCAAGGCCACCGTGCGGGTGTTGAGGCCTGGACTGTGGAAACCTCTCTTAGCACTCGCGAGCTTCCAGCCTCCTGGCTGCTTTCTAGCCCAGAAGTGTGCACCCTCTCCACACACCTGCCTGGCAGGCACACAGGCACTCCCCGCATCTGTCCCTTCTGTGGAAGGGCACACACGACTTGGCTCCACCTTGCTGCCGTCGAGTCAGTCCCTCAAGTTCTCTTTCACAACCCCGCTGCTCCTAGAAGTTGAGTGCCAACTTCTGGCCCTGCTGGTCTCTGAACCTGGCAGCGTCTGTAGGCCCAGACTTGCACAGCAGCTGTGGAGTTGTGGCCGCTGCCCAGTGGCTGCTCTCGGGAGGCTGTTCAGGCTCTGCTGCTCCTTCAAATGCCCCCCTCTCTGGAGGCACCTTGGCAGGTGGCTCATACCCTCCACCATTGCTAGTATCATACAGGACGGCAGATACCACCTATTTGCTTATTTGTTTCTCCTACTCAACCATTAAAGTTAACATGGCAAGTCTCAAATACTGCAACCGCTTTAGCTTAAACTCTTTTCTTTACAAGTTAAGTCTGTGTTCAGTTAAATCAGAGAGTAGATGATGTCACAGTTTTCAACTCAAGAGATTCTTATGCTAGGATGTCCACACCAAACCCTCGTCAAAACCAAGGAAAAGCGTACTAAATCCTTGGGTGTTGAAATAAACAGAGTATAGCTCTTAAAGGGGAGACTATGTGGTCGGTGGAAAAGGATGAGTTTTGGAGGCAACTTCAAGAGCTCAGTGGGCCAACCTCTTTGAACCTTGTATCCTTTCCCTCTGGTCAGGCTGTTTTGAAGATTTAAATGAAAGCCATGTATAAACACTACATAGTAACTGTAAAAGAAATGCTATTTCCATTTCTGTTGTACATTCATTTGGCAAGTATTTCTTAAACACATACTCTGTTCTAGGCACCAGATTTGGGGACTGACCAAGTGACTGGATGTGTGGAGGAGGAACCGCTGTCACATGTTTCAGGAGAAAAGCAAAGGGTTCTAGGGAGCAGTGTGGGTGCTCCCCTCCCCTGGGGGCCACTGGACACTTCATGTGCACATCAAGAAGCCACTAACTCTGAGTCTATCAGCCTCGTCTTTGCCAAGACTTGTTCCTGTCCAGCTGGGGGTGGGTTTTTCTATCCCCAGCCTTCATTGCTCCTGCCCCTTCCCTGGAATCGAGTAGGTGGTGAATATTTTTTTGTTTTATTTATTTGAGACAAGGTCTCCCTATGTTGTTCAGGCAGGCCTCGAACTCACTACATGTCTCAGGCTGGTTTCAAAATTGTGGCTATCTTTCTGCCTTGGCCTCTCGAGTGCTGGGGTCACCAGTGTGTGCCACCATATTTGGCTGGTGAATTTTTGTTCCATTCCTTTTCTCTCCCTGCACAAAATATGGATTAGTGGCCTAAAGGCTTACCAGAGCCAGGAACGATGGCATTCAAAAGTGCACTGGATAATGCAATTTGTAGAGGAAAAAACACAATGTTAACCACATGGAACCATAAATATTTACTGTTTGGCCTGACAATAAATGAAAATGGGCATGCCAAACTCATGAATTGCAAAGGGTCAGTGGTCTTTGACAATTATCAATGGAGACATTTCAGAAATCTACTTCTCAGGGCAAATAAAAACTTGCACTTGGATCTTGTGATAACTCATTTCATTCTCAATCTTGATTAGAAAGCCTCAATTTTTCCTTCTTTCTCTCCTTTTTATTTTCCTCTCTCCCTTCCTTCTTTTTCTTTTTTTTTTCCTTTGAAGCAAGGTTTTAAAAAGGGAAATAATCTCCTGTTTATGATGAATGTCTTGTTTGTTACCAAAGGTATGCTCCTGATCATTCTTGAGCAATGGGCTTAGAAGCATAAAGAATGTAAAAATATCTTGAAAAAATTTAACGCTTCACTGACCATATAATCCCAACAAAAACGATCTCAATCAGATAATACCTTCAGAAGCAGTTAATAATTCTTGTTTTGCTTCCTTGACAAAGAGGTTTATTGTAAGGTTACTGTTTGAATATTCCAGTTATTATGTGAAACATCAAATATTTTCACAGTAGAAAATAAATTAGAAGGCCCTGAAGAGTAGGGTATAAACTCTACTTCAGGCAGAATTTGAAAATATATTTTCTAAGATATCTTTTAGAATCTAGGTGCTGCTAGCTGTAGGGCTGACTTCTAGATTCCTGCAGTTGTTAAAGAGTTCAGAAACAAAAGGACAAACACTCAGGTCTCCATGTGCCCAGGGAGCACGTGCTAGGTTCCTTCTTGTTATCTCATTACATGAAGCCGGACACAATGTTTCATAGACACACCAGCCATTCAAAAACCTCCAGAAGAAGCTGTACTTTCACTTGTGGCACTTTTGAAACAACTCTTAACTTTTTTGGGGGGGGTACTGGGAATCGAACTCACGTCCTTGTGCTTGCGATGCAGGCGGTGGTTAACTTTTTTAAAAAATTGTAACGTATCATTAAACAAATTTAAACCCTAGCCACACACACAAAAAAAATAGAAATGGGTAGTTCTCACTGGCTAATTCCTATCTGAGAGCTCAACACATCCTCTTTACAGATAAGATTAGTTGCATAAATAAAAGAAATTAAAAAGGTATACAAAAAAGGGATAAGTTCACATTCACTTTCAACACATGCCTTCAAATAAAATACATTGAAAGTTGCACCCTGATTATTTAAAAAATTAATATCAGCTATGAGGATCCTCTAATGAGAACAGGAGTCACAACAGGAAAGAAAAAATCCCACCTGTCCTCAGGGGCTGCCATCCGCTCTGTCATCTCATATGAAACCGCGAGTTTATAAGAACTTTAAAGGACAGTATTAATGGTAACAAAAGCTGTCCTAATTGACGAAGAAACTGGAAAAACTACTATATCTATTCATGGAGAGCACGTAAACTGTGGCATCTCAATCTGATGCTGTAGGAGACTTGAAACAAAATAAATACTAATGACACAGAATTCTGGAAAGGGTATCCAAAATCTAGACTTATTTTCAACTCCAAAATTTTACCAGAAAATGAGATTACTATTTGGATGGTATGTTAAGTTTTAGCAAGGGCTATATGTATTAAAAAGTAAGAAATTACAATGCACTAAAGGAGAAACAGACCTTTTCAGTCTTTCTTGAATAACAAAGTGTATTTCAGTGAAAGTAGTGCATGCCCTCATGATAGAAATAATCCCAACCCTGTGGAGTGAGGTCTTTTTTCCCTTTTGGTGTAGCTGTGATGGGAAATTGACAGGGAAAGTGGAGTCTGGATTCTAACTGACCACCTCATTTTATCTCCTAACTGAAATGGTCAGAATGACAATGGATATCGATGGTGCACGCTTCAGGAGTGCTGGCTGCGAGCAGGCTGCACATGGGTGACACCTGTAAGAACAGCACCTGACAGGTGGAAGAGGATTTGAGATTCTCTCCCCACGATTCATCCACTGCCACAGGAGCTGTCCACAGAAAGGCCAGGGAAAGTGGTTCAGCACAAATTCGGTCTGGATGCCACGTGGAATTCATGAGTTAATGTTATAGCATTCATCTGCAAAAGTCGCTCTACTCCCTTTAAGTCATAAAAGATAACGAGCATGAAAGGGAAGATCTGAGAAGACCTCCCCAGGAAGCTGGCAAAGTGGTATTCTGTAAAATAAGGTTCAATGGTATGATGATTAGGTGCCTGCTGCGTGCAGAGGAAGATGGCGGAGAAAAGATAAGGAAGAAAAGTAATAAAATCCATAAAACTATCATGAGGAAACAGGCTGTGTTAGAACGACACCTAGAGACAAGGACAGCCTGTCAGCTTGGGGCCAGGGTTCTCAGGAAGGAAGCTCGAGTGAGTTGGAAACAGATGAAAGAAATGGCTCCGAAGCTGGGCAATGAGAAAGAGGGAGCGCTTCCTTCCTGTTATCTAGGATAAAGAAGTATGCATGACAAGAACTGGGTCGGAAGTATGAGGATTCACAGTACAAGCATGTTTGTGTTTATTGATTTCCAGTAACTTTATGCAAACTTTAATGTGGGCGTGCAGTTTTATGAAAAGGAGTCCATAGCTTTCAGGGTCTTGTTCATCTGCAGTGCTGGAGACTGGATCCAGGGCCTCATTCATGCTAGTCAAGGTCTCTACCCCTGAGTGACATCCCAGCCCCAGCGTGCAGATGACTCATCTGCTAGACTATAAAACTCCACGGTAGCAGGGACTGTGGCAGTCATCAAACTCTTGGTCTTCACACAGAATTTGTACACAGTGGAAGATAATACATGTGGCTAACTAAATGCATCAGTAAATTAACTATGCAGATGTCCCACAAAAACGAAGAGTCAAGCAGGGCCTGAGAGTGCATGCCTGTAATCCAGCACTCGGGAAGCTGAGGCAGGAGTAGCTGAGCGCAGCAAGTTCAAGGCCAACCTGAACTACAAAGGGAGACCCTGTCTCAAATCACAACAAAACCACAAATATCAAACAAGCAAAAAAAAAAAACCAAAACCAAAAACAAAAACAAAAGAACAACCCCAAGAGTCACTTTAAAGCAATAGTTCTCCATATAATTAATACATTAAGAAAGTCAGAATTTTAAAACTAGGTTGATAAAAGCTTTTTAATTCTCACAAAAAATGAACCTGTTATGAGAGTCAAGCTAGGGTTGGTAGCAATGAATAATTAGATTAAACCTATATACATGAACTAAAAATTAGGCCCAGCCCAGCGTGCTGAATGGAAGCAGGGGAGACCAAATCCGTGTGGTGATGCCCCAGAGGACCAGTCGGGAGCCAGGAAACTAAGTGAAACTCGAAAATATAGATGATGCAGGGGGTTTATTTTTTTCTCTATTTTTACTTGAACTGAGGCACAAAACTGAGAAATGAGTTGGATTAAGTAACTCATAGTTTGTTCATTTGCAACTTAATGAGAAAATCTCTGTGTTATGGTTTAGATAAAAATCGTCCCCAGAAGGGTGATCGGATCATCAGGAGCTCTACTCATTAGTGGGTTCACAGCCGAATGAGCTGCCGGGGTTGAGGCCTGGCTGCGGTGGTCAGGACAGTGCCCTGAAGTATGCATCTCCTCCACTACTCCTCCTCCCTCTCTGCTCCCTGGCCACCATGATGTCAACAGCTGCCTTTCCCCCAGAAGCCCCACCATGCCCTTCCTGCCTTGGAGATAGCTGATTATGGACCGAATCTTCTAGAACCATGAGCGTAAATAAACTTCTTCTTTCAATTGTGGGTGTGAGGCATCTTGTCCCAGCAATAAGGAAGGAGACTGAGACACCCTATGACAGATCCCTTAAAACTCAGGTCTTAACCATATTTTCGTCAGTTAAAAATATGCGCCAAATCATGGAAAAATCAAACCAGCACCTTCGGCTTTTTGTTTTATCCCATGAAAAGTCTGAAGAGAGATCCCCATGCTATTGAAGTTTATCTTGACAAGCACATACCACAACTTCAGAAGCAAACTTCTCAAGGAATCCTTAGAGGTTGGCATAGTCCCATCACTCCACTGTTGCCAAGCCCAGGCTAGTGACATTTCACACACACTCCAGAATGTAGGGGCAGCCCCTCACAGACACACATTTGTTACTCACTTCATAATGCTGGGTGTCTCCACCATCTCTTTCATTTTCTTTGCTATAAACAAGAACAACCATAACAAAATATCACAAAACGTCCATTTTTTTATGACAATGCCTTTCATCCATTCATATAACAACTTGGTTTATTTTAAAAGTGGGCTAATAGCTTTACATATACTCCTTACAAGATTCAAAAATGAAAAAAAAATACAAGCACAAACATGATTATTTGCCTTATAGATTTCTATTCTAAGCATTTTCCTTACCATAAAAGTCAACATACAGTCCTTAAATTTCATTCTTTTTGGTTCTTACAGTCCACGCTGCATTAAATGAAAACAGTAATCTTGTCATACCCTTGGAAATAATGTGAGGAGAAAATTCTAAAATTACCTTTCCTCAGACATCAGTTTGACATCATCAGCTCCAGTCCTGTCATTTGATCGTACGGAATTGAAACTTTCCATATTCTGTAACAGAACAATTATTGGTTGCTTAATAGCCTGGTAAGAAACATGCAAAAGCCGACTCCTTTTTCTAAAGTTAAAAAAAAAAAATCAGTTAACCGTAGATATAAACTAATTATAGTCCTCACTTTTCCATCTTTGTTAAAACAAGTAAAATTATTATCTTCTGCTTACATAAAGCTGCACATTGAACCTTACCATCCCTTTAACAAAGACAGCTGATAGCATCACGGAAATGGCCACTGTTCCCATAATGTCTTCACTAGGTGTAATGCACGTTGGACAGCTAACCCTGACCAAACTCAGGTCATTGGAGAATCAGGGTGATTTAGAACTAGAACTGAGGAATATAAATCTCAAATCCAATCAGAAATTGGATTGCTTATTATCTTTGTAGAACATAGCCTGTATGATCCAGGAAAACATATATAGCTTATATCTAAGTTGTAAAACCATTCATAAAAAGACATGAGAGTAATTAAAAAACCTTTCTTCAATATTTAATGTTAAGTTCTGTATTAGCAAGAATGTACAAAATATAAATAGAAGACTTACTTGAATCATACATGTTTTAGGCCAACAAAGTAGGCCTAATGTTTGTAAGGGTTTTTATTTTTTGACTGCCTCTGTGAATACAGCCATTGTTTTCTAAAAATAATGCAGGTGACTAAGCACAGAATAAGTATCTCATCCTCATGAAGGAAGGAAGAGTAAATTTGTAAATTCAGTAGACTCAGAAAACATGGCTGCCTTCAAAATTTGGACCTGCATTTCACTAAACTCAGAGGTTCACATCTGCCTCGGAAGGATACTAGGTACAATCCACTTGCTGTGTGTCATCAAAATCAATAAAGAACACATATTAACCTATATATCAATAACCTACCATTATGAAAACACTTTAAAAAGTCACAAGAATGCCATGAGATTGGCATGTATGAAAATCTCCATAAATAAACGCATCGCAGTGAGAAGTCAATCTTTGGCTCGGTGGGTGAATCAGTCATTTTCATTTACATGGGTCTGGCTAACTTGTCTGGAATCTTCCGTTCGACACCCTGGGCTCCATGAAAGCACGGAAGAAAGGGAGACAGCGCACTATAACAGTTATGACAGAGGCTTTCAGGGCAGAATTCTGGCTCCATTGACTTTCAGCTCTGTGACTCCACTTGAGCCTCAATTTCCTCAAATGGAGGCGGCAACACTACTTGCCCCATCATGAGGAGTAAACAAACAAACAAAAAATACATGTAAAGCAAGAGAGCCAGGCCTGCTATACTTAATGCTTTTGAGTTGTTACTATTACTTCTAAAGGTGCGATACTTCCAAAGAAAATATTTCACTATTTGTCCACAGGTAAGACAGCCCCAGAAATTTACAAGACAGTATTTGAGTCTGCCCATTAGAATACTAAGCACCAAGTTACTCCAAAAACTTACATACCTAGATGATTTTAGAATGGATCTGAGAAAAAAAAAAGTTATGACAGTGTTCAACTGCATTCACACCTTCAAAGTTTGAGGTAGAAAAGTCCCTTACAACTGTCTTCCATCAAACCGCAGCATAATGGCTCTTATTATGTGACTGTGACCTTCCTGATAAAGGGCGATATATCCGTGACAAAGAATGTTTGTTCCCATTAGTAATCTTTAATGGATTATCAAAATCTTTAGTGAAAGATCGAGTGCAAGAGTATTAGGTTTTCCTAAAGCTCAGAAACATGAATTCCTAGGGGAAGCACAATCTTTTCATATCATTTCCAAATAGTGCTGGTGAAATGAACTGTATATTTAAAATCGTGTGTCAATCACTTTTTTGGAAGAAATAAACATTTCCAGATTACAACTAAGGAAAATTCAGGAAGAAGAATACATAAAATAAACCAAAAGAGCATTCTACAAATTTATAGAGACATTTCATTTACAAGCTGATAGAAGGTTAATTTTCTCCTAAACAAAAGGAAACAAAATATCATGATACAGATTTTGAGAGCTACAGACTAGTTATGTTATACAATAGAAAGATTTGCAAAAAGTACTTTTTTTTTTTTCGGTACCGGAGATCGAACTCAGGACCTTGTGCTTGCGAGGCAGATAAGGTGCCACTGAGCTAAATCCCTGGCCCCCAAAGTACTTTTAAGATGTGAGAATTTTTAGTCAATCTCAAGGGTTAGAACAAGTATTGACTTCATCAACTCCCTCCTCTCCTCTTTTCATGTTTGAGCGTTTAAGAACTCTCCAAGGCTCTCAGTTTTTATAGCTGTAATTCGTAATGGCTGACTTTCAGTACTGTGCAGTATTCCTCTTTAGTCTTTGAGTCATTTCTATTGTTATATTGTTTCTCTGCACATTTCAGAGCGCTGCATACCCGTCTGGAGTGTTCTGCCCTGCCCGAGGCACACGGCGTTCCTTCACTGGAGTTGCTGGGCTGCACTTCTACGTGCCAGGAGCAGGGAACACCCGTGTAGGGCCTTAAACCTGGTCAAGTCCTCTTGAGTTTTGAGAATGCAACTGACCAAGGTAATGAAGACATGCTATGTTAACAAAACTACCCATTTTCACAGAGCACAAAATGTTTTCTAAATTCTAATTTCTATCCTTTGTCTATGGTATAGTGAGCAGATAAGACAAAATGATTAATTCCTGGCTTCACTGAGATGAGGGAAAGGGAAAACTAAAACACAAAGGTAAAACAGCATGGAAACACAGGCTGCTTCTCTTGGATGGAAAGCAGCATGCTGCTGCACTCTCACATCTGCTGCCATTGTTAATGGGTTTATCCGATGAGCAAATACAAACACCATGCATTTCGAAGATTTGGAATGGTTTTCTTTTCGAAATCAATTTCTAGGTGTGGTAAAAGAGTAGTCCATGAGTGTTTTTATTTTTAAAAGGCAATGTAATAGAACTCTTATAAAAATGATTTATTGTATTAACTTTTAATTAAGAACTTTTAAAGGTAATAGTTAATTTTTTTTTTTAAATAGCAAAGAAGCACTTGGCGTGATGACTCACACTTGTAATCTCAGCTCTTTCAGAGGCTGAAGCAGGAGGATTGCGACCTTGAGGTAGCCTGGGCAATGAATTAGTTAAACCTCATCTTAAATAATAAAATAAAAAGGGCTGCAGTTATAGCTCAGTGGTATAGGGCTTACTTGGCACGTATGAATCTCTGGGTTAAACCCTCAGTACTGAAAAAAAAATGCAAAGACTAGATTATGAATGTGAGTATCATGCAATGGAATTACTTCTCATAATTTTTAATCAGATAAAGCTTCATTTACAATCCATAAAATTTTGACTCATGTAAGTTCTTAGTGACTTTCAAAACACAGATGTACATAATCTATTTTGATAATTTTGGGGCATGAGAAGTAACTGAATTTTAAAAAGTACCCTTTGCAATTATAAACATAATCTTCAAATTTAAAAGCCCAAATGCTTTGATAAAGCTAGCTTTTGATTATAGATTTAAAATTTTTTTTTCTCAGCTTTAATTGAGTTTATTGGTATATTTTAGGGATACAGTACACTTACATTCATTGTTGGTATCTTGTACCTCTACATGACAAGTCTTGATTCTTGTTTTTTCCCCTTACTGATTATAGATTTATTTGTAATTCTGCCCCCCCCCCCTGTGTTGGCACTGAAAGCTACACTCACAACCTGTTTGACCACTGACTGGAGTACCTGAAAATAGCTGGAGCAAAAACAAATTGTCTTCTATAACTGTAAAATGCTGACAAAGCCTTTATAGAGGACCCAGAAAAAAAAAATTCCCTCTCTCATTAGACAAACAGGTCAAACTGAAGGCCAAAGCAATGCTGCTAGTCAAAACAGGTTCGTTATTCTAACCTTGAGCTCTGAAAAGGAGAATATTTTATACAGTCTCATTAACAAAGGAGCAGTGCCAGGTTTGAATTTCTTTTTTTTCCCCTTTGTACATTTCATGTCTTATTACTTAAAAGTGTATAAGCTAGTCCACATTCAAAAGAACTACTGGTATCATAAAAGAGGACCATTACTAATTGTCCAGCTGAACTGTCTTAGCTTTTCTGAGAAAAAGCAGGGGACAAAGCTTTCTTCTAAGAGTGCAGGGCAAGGGGAGCTGGTGTCTGAGGTAGCAGGAATGGCTGGGATCATGGTGACCACTAGTGTTATAGTCAGGGTTTTGGCAAGGGAATACATTTAATACAAGGCACATAATGTATAGGATTATTTTATGACATTTACCCCCAAAATTAAATACAGAGGAGTACAAGAGATTAACCATACACTAAGGGCCTGAAGAATTTAGCGAAGGGCCTGGATCTCATGGGAATGTCCCACACAAGTCCAGGTAAATACCTAGAGTCCAAGGCAATGTCCTGCACAAGTCTAGCCAGTGGCCTAGAGCACACAGCAAAGCCACAGCAAGCTTCTCCTAGAAAATCAACAGCCCACAATCTTCCCCTACAGTTCTATTTTTATGGCTATTGACAATAATCCTCAGGTGGATTTTCCATGCCCAGACTACAATGATTCAGTTCATCTGGGTGTTACAAGTTGACCATTACTCAATCCAACAAAGGAGCGATAAGGGAAAGCCGTCTCAGCACCACAGTAACCTGTGGTCTCTTGGTCTCTGCTGGTCATCACAGCCTTGTGGGGCAAGAGGACAAAGTGCCCACTCCACACCTGCAGGAGACTTGAGGAGGGTGAATCCCATGCTCCTCTTTGGCTGTGGTATGGGCCAATGATGTCAATGGGAAGCTCCGGTCTTCAGTTTCTCTCATTCTCTCTTGAGAATGGCTTTTGCTCCTGTCCTTCTACCAGCTTGGTTCCACTAAGATCATGGTGAGCTCTACCACCTTCTATTTAACCTCTCATCTGATCACCTTTCTCTGTGAAACATGGTTGTGTGGCTTCCAAGTTTTTTTTTTTTTTTTTTTTTTTTTAA